CATGCCATCTTCTTAAGGATATGGAATGATGAGAAAATCCCAGATGATCTCAGGAACACCATAGTTTCATAGTTTCTAGGGTCGGAAGGGGCCTGAGCAGATCATCTAGTCCGACCCCCTGCCATGGCAGGAAAGAGCATTGGGGTCAAATGACCCCAGTAAGGTGGTCATCCAACCTCCTCTTAAAAACCCCCAGGGTCGGAGCCTGCACCACCTCACTTGGAAGCTGGTTCCAGACCCTAGCCGCCCTGACCGTGAAGTAGCACCTCCTGATGTCCAACTTAAACCTTCCCTCCGCCAGCTTGTGACCATTGTTCCTGGTCACTCCTTGCGGCGCTCGGGGGAACAGGGACTCCCCCAGCGCCTGCTGATCCCCCCTAACCAGTTTATAACAGGCCACAAGATCCCCCCTCAGCCTTCTCTTTTGAAGGCTGAACAGGTTCAGGTCCCGCAACCTTTCCTCATAGGACCTACCCTGCTGTCCCTTGATCATACGAGTGGCCCTCCTCTGGACCCTCTCGATGCTGTCCACATCCCTCTTAAAGTGCGGCGCCCAGAACTGGACGCAGTACTCCAGCTGCGGCCTGACCAGTGCCGCATAGAGGGGGAGGATCACCTCCCTGGACCTGCTCGAGATGCATCTGTGGATGCACGACAAGGTGCAGTTGGCCTTCCTAGCCGCCTCCCCACATTGCCGACTCATGTTCATCTTGGAGTCAATAATGACTCCCAGATCCTTTTCCACCTCCGTGCTGACAAGAGGGGAGTTCCCCAGCCTGTATGTATGGTGCCGATTGTTCCTCCCCAGGTGCATCACCTTACACTTGTCCGTGTTAAACCCCATCCTGTTCTCCTTCGCCCATCCTTGTAACCTATCTAGGTCCAACTGTAGCCTGTTGCTCCCCTCTATTGTGCCCACATCCCCCCACATCTTAGATTGTCACCATAATTGTGACAATCTTCAAGAAAGCTACACGTTCCTGCAAGCTGATATTGGCAACCAGGGTTGATGACTGGAGACCCTCTGGGTTAAAATCCATGGGGAACATGGCACAGGGGACACAACGGTGGGAGTCTACTACACACCTCCCACCCAAAGTCCTGAGCTTGACCAGGAGTTCATCCAGGAAACTGGCTGAGGCCGCATGCTCCAGAACCATGGTTGTCATGGTGACTTCAATTACCCGGACATCTTGTGAGAGGATCACTCAGCAAAATCCAAGGGTCGCAAAGCTTCCTCTCGTGCGTGGATGACCTCTACCTGACTCAAGAAATCTATGGGCCAATGAGAGGTAAAGTGCTGCTCGACCTGGTACTGGCTACTGGGGATGATCTAATCGGTAACCTAGTGATTGAGGGGAAGCTGGGTGACAGCGACCACAAGCTGATCACCTTCACCATCCGCCATAAAGCTGGCAAGTCAGTCAGCAACACGGAAGTCCTTGACTTCAGGAAAGCCGACTTTGACAAGCTCAGAAGGCTTGTCAGTTAGGCCCTAAGAGACCACGACCCCAGGGAGAGAGGAGCTCAGGAAGAGTGGCTGCTTCTCAAGGGAGCGATCCCTCAATGCACAAGCTAAGTCTATTCCATCTCAGAGGAAAGGCAGCAAGAGGGCACAGCAGCCCCCCTGGCTCTCCAGGGATCTAGCAGACCTCCTGAGGCTAAAATGAAAGGCCTACAAAGGATAGAAGATGGGATTCACCTCCAAGGAGGATTACTCTGCACTGGTCCGGTCCTGCAGGGAGCAAACCAGGAAAGCCAAGGCTGTAACTGAACTCCAACTAGTTTCAAGCATCAAGGACAATAAAAAGCCCTTTTTCAGATATGTGGGGAGCCGGAGGAAAAGCAAGGACAACTTTGGACCCCTGCTGAACCAGATGGGGCAACTGACGCCCAGGAAAAAGCCAACCTATTAAATGGGTACTTTACATCGGTCTTTCATCAGTCCCATTTGATGCCCATGCCTGCTATGGGACAGGGATGTCCGGGTGAGAGAGATCCCCTGCCCTCCATTAATGATGACCTCGTGAAGGAACACCTTGAGAAGCTGGATACCTTCAAGTCTGCCGGCCCTGACAATCTACACCCCAGGGTACTCAAAGAGCTGGGGAGCATCATAACCCAGCCTCTGGCACGGATCTCTGAAAACCCCTGGCGCTCTGGTGTAGTGCCTGAAGACTCGAAGAAGGCCAATGTGGTACCTATCTTCAAGAAAGGGAGGAAAGTGGATCCGACTAACTATAGGCCCATCAGCCTGACTGCTATCCCAGGGAAGATGTTAGAAAAGTTTATTAAAGAGGCCATCCTTAATGGACTGGCCGACACCAACATCCTAAGGAATAGCCAGCACGGGTTTGCTGCGGGTAGGTCTTGCTTGACCAATCTCATTTCCTTCTACGACCAGGTGACCTATCACCTGGACAACGGAGAAGAGATGGATGTCATATATCTTGACTTCACAAAAGCCTTCCATCTGGTATCCCATGATCACCTCTTGGCGAAACTGTCCGATTGTGGCCTTGGGTCCACCACGACCCGCTGGCTGGGAAATTGACTCCGTGGTCAGACCCAGAGGATAGTAATTGATGGAA